ACAGACAGACTGGAACATGTCTGGAAGAGGTTGACAGAGACATCAGGAAGGCTGGAGACCAAGTCCTATGAGGATTGAAGGAACTGAGTATGGTTAGCCCAGAGAAGAGATTTCTATTGAAGTTCCTGGCAGGGACGTGGTGGCGCTGTGGGCTAAACCGCAGAAGCCTGTGCTGCAGGGTCAGAAGACCAAGCAGTCGTAAGATCGAATCCCCGCGACGGAGTGAGCGCCCGTCACTTTGTCCCAGCTCCCGTCAACCTAGTGGTTCGAAAGCATGCAAATGCAAGTAGATAAATAGGGACCACCTCAGTGGGAAGGTAACAGCGTTCCATGTCTAAGTCGCACTGGCCATGTGACCACGGAAGATTGCCTTCGGACAAAACGCTGGCTCTATGGCTTGGAAACGGGGATGAGCACTGCCCCCTAGAGTTGAACACGACTGGACAAAAATTGTCAAGGGGAACCTTTACCTTTACCTTTTACCTCCTGGCATTTGCTCAAAAGCTCTGTTGAGCTTCCTGTAATTTGCTCAAAATATCTATTGAGGCTCCTGCCGTTTGCTCAGAACTTCTTTTCCCCGTTGTGAATCAAAAGGCGCATACATCAAGCAAGCCCAGGGGTCCCTCCAATGAGGCAGAAGCTATCGCAGTGGTGTACAGTTTGTAGAAACGGCACCACTTGCACAAAAGCTATTCTTGCCGATGCGAGAGCAGTTACCCAGTAGAATATATATATAGCTGCCTGAGAGGGAAGAAACAGGTTTTGCCATTTCTTAGTCTCATGTTCCAACAGCAGACATGTGAGGTCTCAAATCCTTAATCAGCGTGCAAACATTATTAAATGGGTGGCCTTTTTTTGCCATTTTTCTACTGATTCTTTCACTCTCCTTTTGAGGATAAGCCATCATTGGCGATTCTGGGCATGAAGGTGACCGGTATCGCCTTTTTACAACCAGCATTTGTTAACCCAACACATGGTCTCCAAACTCTAAGGAATCAGTTGGGTGAATGTAGCTGAATAGTCCTTTTGACCGGATCTTTGACTTTTTAATTTTGTTAGATGTCATTCTCTCCAAAAGGCTGAGGAGATACCATTAAAATGGAGAGCTGGTTAGACCTCCTCTAGAGTCTGGTGTCCAGTTCTGGACATTGCACTTTTAAAAGGATGCCTGCAAACTGGAGCAAGTTGAGAGGAGGGCAACAGGGATGATCAGGAACTGGAAACTAAGCCCTAGGAGGAAAGACTGAAAAAAACTGGTGAGTGCTCCAACATTGGAGGCATTCAAGAGAAAATTGGACAACCCTCTATCAGATCTGCTTTGCTCTGGATTCCTACATTGAGCAGAAGGTTGGACTCAATGGTCCCTTCCAACTCAATGCGTCTATGATTCTATGATTCCAGTTCTACCCCTGATGGTTTCTGGGAGCCCAGATCTGTATTTGGGAGCGTTTTCCCCCCAATCATTAAGGAGGTCTTGAAAGGGGGAGGGGGATCTTGACAATACCCCCCAGTTCCCAAACCCTGGCACTGAAGCTTCAGTGTCATGCAATGTCATCTGTCTCTCTTTCCTGATGATCTGGCCCTCCTGGCTTCCTCCTGACCCACATACGGATCCCCCTCCACTGCATCCCAAGAAAGGACCTGTTCTTCTCCAAGCCGGAATTTCGGACGCAAGGGACAATGCTGGGCGATTTGCGGGAAAGGCAGAGTGGGCAGAGCTGAGAGCTAATTTATAGGGAATGCCCTGAAGGGGAGATGACTTTGAAGACGGAGCCCACTTAATAAATGAGAAATTAGGACTTAATAATGCAGCAAAAATCCATTAACCCTTCTTGATTGCTGTTGCCGGCTTCTGCTAGGCGATGATCTTTTCTCTCCCTTCTCCCTCGTCTGTAACCACCAGTGTTTTCACCAATACAAATGGAATCACACTTACAGAACACCCTGATTCCGAACACATACACACACATGTGCGTGCGTGCGCACACACACAGACCTATATGGTGCTGAAAGTTCTAGGCCATCCATTTTTCGCTGTGTCCCTTCCTGGAGCAATTTTTGATTATTCAATTTCCTGGTCCTTACGATCTCTAGAGGAGGGTCTTCTCTCAGTCTCCTTCCCATCGTAGGGACGTTTGATGGGGACATGAGACAGGGCCTTCTCTGTGGCTGCTCCCAGGTTGTAGAATGCTCTCCCTTGGGAAGTTAGGTTAGCTCCCTTTCTGTTATCCTTCCACCAACACTTGATTTTTTAGTAACCATGATTGAGTTCCTTTTGCTTTTCTAAGTGTGAGTTCAAAGTTTTTAGTTACTTTATGATCATAACTACTTTATTGTCGTTTAGTTGCTTTTGTAATCTGTAATGTCTTGTGTTTTTCACATTGTTTCAAGATTGTGAGCTGTCTTGGGTCCCCTCACTGGGAAAACAGTGGCCTACAAATGGGACAAAAATAAATAAGCAAAATAAGCAAACACATAAATGTAACACATGAGGAAGATGTAATCATAAATGCTACAGTTCCTCTGAGTGTTTGTGCGCATGCATTCCTAGAGATGTGCATGAAATGTAAGGTGCATCTCTACCCTGCTCATCCGCATCCAACTCATACATGCTACTTCTGTAGGTCTTGGGAAAAGGTTTAAAAGACTACACTTGTCCTTTGGAACATGCTGCCACTTGATCCCCATGTGTTCATTTTTACCACTGCTGTGGGTTGGATGTTGAAGTGGAACATTATTGCCTATCATCCTGCTGCTACAAGGACTTGAGTGTTGGATTCTCTGCTGGTACCAGGTTATGGGAACTGTTTGACAGAACAAGCATATTATAATTTCTTTATTTGATTAACAACCAGCCTCTGGTACAGGAAGTGAACCTCCTTAGCTTCAGCTCTAGCCCCAAAAATACTTTCACAAAATGTTCTTATGTGACATCCTGTTCATCACTTAGAATATATTGAGGAGCCGTTGTACTGGAACTATGATTTTAAGAGCTGTTTTAAGTTCTCTACTGAGGTAGAAAAAAATCCCCTCCAATATCTGAACACAGCAGATGGTGGCAGGTTCTCAAGCTCCCAAGAAAATGCTCATCTCCAGTTCAAGAGTGAGACAAGAAGCACTTTTCCCCCTAGCGTGCAATGTGCTGAAAATACCACCAGAATGTCTCTTCCCTTCCTGGAGCTCAGCAGAGATTTAGATGAAACATTAAGGGAAATTCCGATTGATTGAAGAGATGGAAAATGCCCATCTACTGCTTTTAGCTGGTAATCACCCATACAAAAGTATATATAGAGAGAGAAATGGGCAAAAACTCTCAACCTCCGGTTCTGCAGCCAGATAGCTAAGCCACAGAGCTGTCCAGAATTCTTAATAATTGTAGCACTTCCAAGATGAGACTTGTTCTAATGTTGGAGCAGCCAGAGACCTAAACTACTGAGCTGTTCGCTGACTCATAGGTTGAATTGTCTGACTCATAACAACTCAGAAATCAGAGAGTATGTTTTAGATGACTTATTGTTAAAATTTGGAGGAGGAAAAAACACACACCACCCTTTAGATGCTGAAAAGGGAGAATCATTTACAAATTATTATCTTTCTCAACCCCTCAATTTTTAGCTTCCTCTTCCCTTTTGAGAGTATACTGTGAGAAACCTATTTCCATTAAGTAAATGTGAACTATCTTGGATGATGGGGTGTAATGGGTTCATTCCCGGATATTTCAGTGGTTTAGATCTTTGTCTGCAAAACCATGGTTTGGGAGTTTGACTCCCCAGTGTGCCTACTTAACAGAGTCTGGACTCCATGATCAATAGGGTCCCTTCCAGCTCTGCAAGTCTAAGATGATGATTCCAAGTCTGATCCACATGGGCATAGACCTTAAGGAGGCACAGGGTGTCAAGAGACAGATTCTCTTCTATTTTTAATTCCTTATATAGAGTATATTAAACAGCAGTTGTGGATGGTAGCTTTGATGTCAGTAGGGGTGATGAATCTGCACTGGGCTTTCCTCTGAACTTTAAAGAATCTATTCCAAATATCAAGCCTATTTGGGGCATAGAATTCAGCACCTTGGATAGTTCTTGCAATGTTTGACACAACTCTTGGTGTTTTGCTTTTACATTGAATCAAAGAAACAAAACCTTCCTTAGTTTTTAAATCCATGGAATGCAAGTGAAGTGGCCTGGGGTCCTTTTTCATGATGTTGACACGAGTTAAACCAAGGTGTCTACTGTAGCCGGCAAATGTGTTGTCATCTGCTCTGTGTTGTCTTGGCTAGCTTACTATTTGTTGTTGTTTAGTTGTTAAGTCGAGTCCGACTCTTCGTGACCCCATGGACCAGAGCACGGCAGGCTCTCCTGTCTTCCACTGCCTCCCGGAGTTTAGTCAAATTCATGTTGGTAGCTTCAATGACACTGTCCATCCATCTCATTGTCTGTCATCCCCTTCTCCTCTTGCCTTCACTCTTTCTTCACACTTTGTAGCTTACTATAGAATATGAATTTATTTGATTTTTTACACCTAAGATCTGCATAGTGGCAGTAGATAAGTAGGATGAATGTGACGGAAGGCGATCAGGAAGTGTGGGGTGGTGGCGAGGGATGGGAGCGGGAAAATGTCAAGACAAAGCCCCTAACCTTCATCCTGTGGATTATTTTACTGGCATGGCATTAATGTTGTCAAACATGTACAAGGGTGAGAAGCTTTTCTTCTTAAATGCATGCAGGTTTATTCAGAACTGTGCTACATTTGTTAGGCTTTTCAAAATCTTGTCCATCAACCCTGATCCCCCCGGGTCCAGGAAGCGATGCTTTTGTTGAGATACCATCATCAGCATCAGCTGCTAGGATGTCAAGTGGTCCATTTGCATCGAGACTGAAACCTTGTTGCTTCCTGTCATTTCGTTTTTCTCCGTTGGTAATTTGCTTTCTTCTAACTCTAGATGTTCAGGCTGGTAACATTCTTTGTCCTCTTTCCCCTCCTCGTCTTCTCTCCCCTTCCAGGAGAGGAAGCGTTGACCATGTACATGGACAAAAGCCGACTCGACCGGAAGTCGGGGAATGCCACTCAAAGTGTCGAGTCCCTTCACCAGCTCGCCTCCTCCTATTTCGTGGACCGGGATGGGACTATGAAACGTCTCCATGAGATCCAGATCTCTACGGGAGCGATCAAGGTACGCCTGGCATGGTGTGCGTTCCTCGGGGCTTACAAGACAGCTTTGAAGCGAGTGCCTTTTCTCCATCTTTTTAAAACCTTTAGCCTACTTCTGCCTACTTTTCAGGAACTGGAATGTGTTTCCATACCTGTCATCATCCTCCATGAAATTATGGCTTACAGAGGAAAGGCCACATGTGGCGGACCCTTTCTCCCTCCCTCTCCCCTTCCCTCCCTCTTCCTATGTATATAATAAATATGTATGTACACATATATATCAGATTTTTCTTAAAACGAAGAAAGAAAATCTAAGAGATTTGCCCATCTAAGCTTAGATGCATTAGCTTTTAACAGGCGGACTTTGAATCCCCTTCTGTTGAACCACACCTGTGGTGCTGAATTAAAATTTCTAGATCTCCTCCACCCTCCACCAACTACACTTCTAACCTTTAATGACAGCATAGCAGTTGGGTACAGTGTGATCTGCTAGCCGTTGTGAATCTCCGTACTTCTCTAATTGGGTCATTACAAATGGTGGAAGATGTCATTAAAATCCTCTTTAATGAGAGCGATCTAGAAAGTGCTAACATTCTCGTGAATTTAAAGGAAGGAACGAGAGGAGTGCTCTTTTTATAATTTTTATGAAACCTTGCTTGTGAGAGGAAGAGAAAAGGAGGAGCTGATTCATCCTGGACTTCCATCAAGCCTATTGCAGTGGACTGGCTTGATAGTTATAGAGCAGTGGTTCCCAAGCTTGGGTCCCCTGCTATTCTTGGATTAAAACTTCCAAAATCCTTCATCACCAGCTGTGCTGGCCAGGATTTCAAGCCGTTGTAGTCCAAGAACATCTGGGGACCCAAGATTGGGAACCACTGCTCTAGACCATGGTTTGTTTTGTTTGGATGATCTTCCAAACCAGGGTTTGGAGGGTCACCTGAACCATCCTGAGGATGCTGTCTCATGGTGTAAAGCAGTGGTTCCTCACCTTGGGTCCCCAGATGTTCTTGGATTAAAACTCCCATAAGAATTCACCACAAGCTGTGCTGGCCAGGATTTCTGAGAGTGGTAGTTCAAGATGTTCTGGAGACCCAAGGTGGGGAACCACTGCTGTGGAGGCATGTACAGGACAGTTAATGGACTGAAAGCGAGTGTGTCCATTCTCATCAGACAGATGTTGGAGAACGAGGAACAAATCTCCACTCTGGGTTGAACACTTGGGAGACGCAAGTGGAGCAGAAAGCCATGAAGTCAAGACAATTGTCTGTACCAAGAAAAGGGTTGGCGGTTGTTCTTGTAGAATGGTATCAGTGGCTCTCATTGAGCCTTTTGTGCGACACACTTTATTTGGAAGTCTTTTCACTCACTCTTTCCAGCGTGCAAGCAACAAGAACTGACAATGTGACCGGACAAAAGGCTTTCAGAATTGAAGTGGTCAGGGAGAATGCACGAGGCACGGGGGAGAGCTACAGGGGGCAGACAAAGGAAGAGAAAATGGACCTTCTGACAAAAAAAAGAGCCTTTTCCATCCTTGAAAAGCAATCTTCTGGTGTTGGATGTGAAAGGGGGAAAGAGAGGGAGAGAGGCTCAGCCCCCTGCAATTGACTGATGGAGCTATCACACGGATGGCAATTTACAGAATGGTTTGTCCTCCGTAGTCACGTTGGATGTCAACAGGCCAGGACGGCTTTCTCGGCACTCCAAAGGCTCTGAAGATGAGAAGCGCCTCGGTAGATAATCGGAAACCTTCCGACATTCACCCCAAGGAAAAATAAGTGTGCTTCAGCAGGGCTGCGGCACGAGGACTTGATAGCTGGAGAGCGAGGCAGTCATTACAGCTGATGGATTGGCGTCTTGCCTAACCAAAGAAAACGGGGATCTGTTGCAACAAAATACACATTTCTTGGCAACTGAAGTCCTACCCAAGTGTTTGCATATTAGGAAGGCCAGAGTAGGGCCTTAGCTCTTGGGCCTCGTTCAGCTTCCGGAAGATTCCTGTTTGGCTTGCAGTGCTGTCTCTGGGCAGATAAAATGAAGCTGTTTTGCTAGGAATGTCACTGAATTAAGGAACAGCAAAAACCAAAAAGCACATCCATAGGGGACTTTTTCTCCTGGGAAGGGGCTTGAGAAAGACCTCACAGGATCTATAGGGCCTGTATGTAACCCACAGGCCAGTTTCCCCACCCATATTGTCATCCAATACTCTTGGTGTTGCTGTTGCCTTGTTGTCTTTCTTTGTAGTCAAATCTTGTAATTTTTTTGTTGCTCAGCTGAAGGCGATTCCCTGGGCCATGGGCAGAATTTAGCGTATTTTTCTGTGTATAAGACTATACTTTTGTCTAAAATCTTTAGACTAAAAATTGAGGCTCGTCTTATACACGGAAGTAAGCTGAAGAGAGAACAAAAACAAGTGGAGGGGGAAGCAGGGATCAAAGCGATTCTTCAGCACATTTATCCCTTTCCCCCTACACTTGCTAAGCCCCACTTAGATTTCTTAATTTTGGATTTAAAAAGTGGGGGTGTCTTATACATGGGGGCGTCTTATACATGGAAAATATGGTATTTCTCGCTGCTTGTGCAGAAAACTTGGTGGGACAATTTCCAAGCTGGCATAGGAGAAATCCAGTAATCTTTCCTTACACAAGCTCAGAGACGGGCCATTTCCCCCATTTATTTCCAGTCCCCATTTATTTTACCTTTCCCTGTTTACTTTCCTTTGAATGATCAGGTGTAACAATCTGGGTTTTTCATTCCTCATTACATCACTGAACTATGCTGTCTTTCTGAATTTCCTCAGTGGAATCCTATTCCTTTCTCCTGTTTACCCCCAGAGTCTACTGAGTGACCAGCTGGACAGCTTCCAAACTTGTTTAGCGATGTAACTCTTCCCCCCCCCACCAAATTTGGGAGATGTTTATCTGCCTTCACAAGGAACTGTTGGGTGAACAAAACAAACAAACAAAAAAAAAATCATGATTCTTCTGCATAATTTTTGTAATACTGAATATTTTCCTTATTTTTGTATGTGTGTGCTTTAGCTTTATGTCTGATCACACACAACTTTTTCTGGGTTGCATCATTATTAATATATTACAAGCATGTATCTTGGTGGAATACAATAATTTTTGCATATTCTAAGTCTTACGCAACAGTGAATGCTAACAAGATTTCTATTTTCGGACCTTACCACTGTTGCCTATTTATGTCTTGGTATCTTTATTCCTCATGTCACTTGCTTGTTGAAGCACATGTTCTTCTCTATGATGGAATGAAGGTTGCCATGGATTGGCCTTCCTCGAATCGTCTCCACCCCACTTTCCATGAATTGGGCACAGTTCTCTTGTTTCTCGGTTCTTGCTGAAAATCAAGGAATGATTATTGTTTTTCTTGGATCCTCACCACCTCTAGGTCACGGAAACGCGGACCGGCCCATTGGGCTGTAACAGTTATGACAATCTGGACTCTGTGAGTTCTGTCCTTCTGCAAAGCACTGAGAGCAAACTTCACCTTCAAGGTAAGGAAAAAGGGGCTGGTGTACATCCATTAAGAAGGTGGCCAAGGGTTGTCTGGACTGATGTTGCCTGATGTTCCTGATCCATCTCTCTTGCGACATCTCCATCACTTCCATATCATTAGTTATATCCATATCCCACTTTTCCTCGCTTGCTAATCAGAAGAGGGGCAGGATCTGTTCTTGACCATCCCACTTCTTAACTGTTAGAGCAGTACAACAATGGAGCCCATGACCTCAGGAAGTGATGAGTGCTTCATTGCTGGGGGCCTTCAAGAGAACATTGGACTACCATCTGTCAGATCTGCTCTGATGTGGATTCCTGCCGTGAGCAGGGGGTTGGACTAGATGACCTTATAGGTCCCTTCTAACTCCATTATTCTTTAATTCGTCAAATAGACTCCAGTTGGCCTCCATGTACAATGGAGCCCATGACCTCAGGAAGTGATGAGTGCTTCATTGCTGGGGGCCTTCAAGAGAACATTGGACTACCATCTGTCAGATCTGCTCTGATGTGGATTCCTGCCGTGAGCAGGGGGTTGGACTAGATGACCTTATAGGTCCCTTCTAACTCCATTATTCTTTAATTCGTCAAATAGACTCCAGTTGGCCTCCATGTCTCGTCTCTTACCATTATTCTTTAATTTGTCAAATAGACTCCAGTTGGCCTCCATGTCTCGTCTCTTTCACGTTATCCTCATCACAGCAACCCTGTGACAGCCTTCAAGCTGCAAGAATGTGACTGGACTGAGGTCACCCAGGTCATCCAGAACCTGGATCTCCAGAGTCATGGTCCAGTCCGTGTTATCCTCATCACAGCAACCCTGTGAGATCCTTCAAGCTTCAAGGATGTGACTGGATTGAGGTCAACCAGTGAGCTTCAGGGCCAAATCAGGATTTGAACCTGGATCTCCAGAGTCATGGTCCAGTACATTAACCACTACACTACAGTGACTCTGCTACTGAAAAATAAGAGGTCCTCACCTACAAAAGGGCTATACTTGGGAGGAGTCTAGTGTCCTCACTGGAATCTTTCACAACCTTTCCCCATAATATTTCATAGCAGTAAATATGAGAGCAACTTCTTGGCCATAGTACAGTGGTGCCTCGCAAGACGATTGCCTCGGGAGACGAAAAACCCACAAGACCACTGTAATGCGCTCTACGTGGGGAGCGATCCCTATGGTGCTTCGCAAGACGGTTTTTTTCTATGACCATGCTTTGTGAGACTTTTTTTTTGAGGCCTAAGCTTCGCAAGACGAATAAATTTGTCTGATTTTTTTCGCAAGACAGCGATTTTCGTGGAACGAATTGAAATTGTCTTGCGAGGCACCACTGTACTGAAAAATACTGCAATCTAAATGTGTAACAAAATGGGATGACTGTCCAGAGTCCATGAGGTAGAAGCAGCATCATACGAAGAGATGAAACTTCCTTTCCATATAGCAGTGTCAGGATACCATTAAAATAGGTTGACCTTCAAGGCCATCCCTACTGTTAGGCAGAAGAGGGCAACTGCCTCCTGTGAGTTGTGCACAGGGAAGCTATGCTGGTTTGCCTCCTGCATGCTCTTACCAATTTGAAGTGAGACTTTATTGCCATATTTATTGCTTTCCAATACATGGAATGCAAGAGAACCCATCCCATGTTCGAGCCCCAGGATGTCCATGTTGGAGGTCATCTTAGGGAAACCTCTACTTGAAGGACCTCTACTTAGAAGGACCTCTACTTGAAGCTGGTCAGATGAAAGAAGACCCAGCTACACGAACCTGTGGGATGTCCTTCCAACAGTGATGTCCACCATCACCACCACCTCCTCCTCCTTCTGGCTCCATTTCTTTCAGGCTTTTGCCACTGAGGACAATGGAGGCTGATGAGGCCGGAGCCTTGAAGACGTTGCTCTTTTCCCCAAACTGGCCTCCGAGTCACAGCGAGCAGCCATTTCCTGCCAGGGCTAGCTCATCAGATCGGAGGAGACAAAGAAGTCACGATCCATTACCTGCGGCCCTGTGAACAGTCCTTAATGAGGCCTTGCGAAGCAGCTGGGGAGGCAAAGACTTGAGCTAATTATTCTGAGATCTGTCTTCTAGGATGCAGAGAAGGGAGAGAAAAGACCAGGGTGTTGCTTTAAAGGTCACACGTCCATTACTTCCCCAGATGAGTAACCTTCACTGCTCTTGAACACATCAGACAGTCCTGGTGAGACCACTGGTCTATCCTGCTTGCGAGAGGCAATCGGAACACTTTATGTCTTTCCTAGACCTGCTCCCTGAGATCTTGTAACCTGGGATGGGAATAAGGTGGCTTTTCTTTCATCCCATTATCACTCCAGAAGTGGCCACGCTGGCTAGGCACGTAAGAGTTCAACAGCCACTGGCTTCCCATAATGAGTTCTTAGATCTTGGACTAAGATCCATATTCTTTGACATTGAGGTTTCTCTGAGATCCCAGACAATGGCCTTTCCTAACTCTACAGCCAAAATCTGTTGAAGAGATATGTTCGTCTTCTTAGAGAACAGAGATGGGACTGGAAGAAATTTCCTTGCTTCTAGAAAGCTAATGTGTCCAGGTTAAGGACTCCCATCTGACTTTTGCATGAAACCTCAGGAAGGTACCATATTTTCCATGTATAAGACTATACTTTTGTCTAACATCTTTAGACTAAAAATTGAAGGTCGTCTTATACATGGAAGTAAGCTGAGGAGAGAACAAAAACAAGTGGAGGGGAAAGCAGGGATCAAAGCGATCCTGCAGCGCTTTGATCCCTTTCCCCCTACACTAGCTAAGCCCCACTTATTTTTCTTAATTTTGGATTAGAAAAGTGTGTGTGTGGGTGTCTTATACATGGGGGCGTCTTATGCATGGAAAAATATGGTATATTTGAAGGGAGTAACTTGGTTTGGGCTCTTCATTAGAACACTGAGCTCATTCCCCACTAAAAGATGGTCTGTGTGCCTGTGTTGCCTGTGCACATGTATGTGTGAGAGAGAATCTGCTAAGAATATAGAGACATAGAGGGCTTTGTTATACTGAATCAGATTGCTGGTCTACCTACCCTGGTGTTGTTGACACTGCTGCTAGTGGCCCTCCAGGAGAATCAGGATATTTTCTTGACCTACCTGGAGATCTCCGGTGGTCTCCCATCCAAGTTCTAACCAGGCCTGACCCTCCTTAGCTTCTGAAATAAGAAGAGAACTTTGTGTTCAGGATGATTTGATTAACGAGCTAGGATGCTTACCTGATTGGAGTGGAAGCTGCCGGTGCCATTCCTTGAATGACAGAAGAAAAAGACCATGGCCACCACCCTCCCTCCCTTCTCTGTCCCCCTGGCTTAGTCTTATTGATGGGCTCTTTAGAGTTTATTCTTCCTGACAGCTCCATGGCCCCCCCATTGCTTAAGAATTAGGCCAGAGAAAAACTAGGTGATTCATAGCCATTGGGAAGGAAATTCTAATCTGGACTGGCAGCCAAGAAGGAAGTAGCCTCATGGGATTTATGTGTGCATTTCCAAGACACGGTTAACAATATTAAGATGGGAATGGTAACCATGTATTATGGCTTGTTCTCCACGTCTCAACCTCCTATTCAGAAGACCAGCCAGCTTCTAGTCTTCTAACTGGCTGGTTATACCCTTCTCTGATATGATTCAATCATTCATCATGGTCAAAAAATTAATTGCAGACATAAACATGGGCTGCGTCAGTTTGCCTCCCTAGCACAGTGTTGCCCAACCTTGGGTCCCAAGGTCCTCTTGGACTAAGATTCCCAGAAGCCTTCACCAGTAGCTGTGCTGGCTAGGATTTCTGGGAGTTGTAGTCCCAACATCTGGGGACCCAAGGTTGGGAAGCACTGCCCTAACAGAGAGGCTGGTGCCTTCTTGGTACCTTTACAGAGCAAGACTGACGAGATGGCAATGCTTTGTGTCATCTTCTTGGAGAAGAGGACAAAAGGTGGAGGAAGTGGGTGAATGGATATCACCTTGGTTGAATGACAGTGCTCACTCTTCACTGCTGTTCCTGGCCATCCCCTTTGAAAGGGAGGAAGTTCACAACTTACAAACATGATGATGGCATTGGGGAAGACCCTTTGGGGTCAGCTGTAGGGACAGGAAATCTTCCGTGATTCCCAACCTTGGGTCCCCAGATGTTCTTGGGCTACAACTCCCAGAAGCCTTCACCACTAGCTGCGCTGGCCAGGATTTCTGGGAGTTGTAGTCCAAGAACATCTGGGTTTCCCAAGGTTGGGAAACTCTGTATTCTAGCATGAACATGGGTCAGGGCCAGCTCTGCCATTAAAGAGAGTGAGACAAGTAGTGGCAGGTGATGCCCGATAGCAGAGCAGCCTACAGCTGTAGGGCATGTGTCCCAAGGCTGGATCTATTCTCTTTTGGACTCTTAAGTAGGGTGAAAGGTCTACCACATGTCCAATTCTCAAGCAGAGATCAACACAAGTCAAGTTAGTTTCTGTAAATGGAAGGGATGGAAGGAGGGGACCTCAAGCAGCAGCTTGTCTTGGCCTGGCCCATGTGTGACCCCAGTTCCCCGTGGGCGACAAGATCTGAACTTCAGGAGGAGATCACAGCTGTCTTCTTCTCTCTGCCTGCCTCACCAATCCCCACTCCCTATGGATCCTTCCCCTTCCACCCCAGTGAGCTGTCAACATCAGCTTAGCCCCGTCCCGAACTGTGATGCTAGAAACAGATGGGTGAGCAACCCACTCTCTTCCCCCCACGCTGCGTTTTGATGGAAGCGCCGAAGCTTCCGCCTCTTCGTCTCTGAGTGTCTGAAACCCCAGAACTCCGACAGCAAGGCCAGGCAAGAGAAAACAGAAAGTAGGCTGAGGGTGGGTGGGTGGGGGTGCGAGGAGTGGAAACCTGACCGACTCTGACAAGCAGAATGGATCAGGTACGAAGCAGCAGCTGTGAATCCCCCATGGGGCCGCAGGCAGTGTGATAGAAAGCTGCAGAGTTGAGTAGAAGCAAGGGATTACAGAAATATACTGAAGTGTGTGTGTGTGTGTGTGTGTGTGTGTGTGTGTGTGTGTGTACTTGTCTGGGCACATCCTTGCCCACTGGAAGAAAAGAGATGGAGTCTCCTCTCGCTGACCTTGAAGAATACCGCTTTCTTGCTTCCTGCTCCTTGACCTATGATGTAAACAAAAGTGACAAAACTAGAGAAGATTTGTTCATTTCAGCATGTTGGTATCTATGCAAGCTAGAGAAGTCACTTTCTTGTTGATGTTCACCTTACAGTGCTGCAGAATGTGAGTTTATATGTTATTTAGTTGGCTCCTTTCGCTTCTCTCCACGGTGTATGTTTCTTAACTGTACCCTATTTTGCATTTTGTCTCAAAACAAGCCCATGGAGTTCTTATTAAGAGATAATCCTATCCCAATGAGCAAGAAGGTTGTTCAGATCAGTAAAGTCCCATTCCATGAAATTACAGGGCCAAAAATACCCTCCTCCCAGAGGGCGGGGCCTTGTGAAGTCATAAGGGGTGGGTCACCATCACGGTTTTGAAACCATCCAACTAGCAGATTTGAAGTAGTTACTACATAGCAGTTTTGGAACCATCTGGGGCCCTGTGAGTGCAGGACATACAGTGGTGCCTCGCTTGACAATAATTCGTTCCATTGAAATTGCTTCCTCGTCAAGCAAAACGAAAAAGCCCATTGAAACACATTGAAAACCCTTCAGTGCGTTCCAATGGGCTAAATACCTCAGCATCCAACGAAGATCCTCCGTAGGGGCAGCCATTTTTTGTGCCTGTAAAGTGAAGATTCCGACCTAAATCACAGCGGGGAGCCATTTTTCACAGCGGGCGGCCATTTTAGAGCCGCCGATCAGCTGTTTTAAAATCGTAGTCTAGCGAAAAATCAGTTCCCGAAGCAGGGAACCGATCATCATTAAGCGATTTTTCCCTATTAGAACATTGTTTTGCAGTCGCAAAAGCGATCGCAAAAACTTCATCGTCAAGTGGTTTCATCATTTAATGAGGTCATCGTTAAGCGAGGCACCACTGCAATGAGAATTCTGCACCACCTTAAAACAAATATTATGTGTGCAACACATCTAGGAAGAACTTCACACTCAGCCCTAGGCACACCTAAGAATGGTCAGAGATGCTCCTCAGGTTTCAAAGCTCCCTCACAAAAATAAAACCAGACATTCTCCTATTCCAGTGGGAGACTAATCATGGAATTAGTTTCCAAGATAGGAGATCTGGAGATGCAGAGCAATTCCCAAAGACGCTGGCTGCCTCCCTGAAGTTTAGCAGTCCTCATGAGTTCCTCAATGAGTTTCATGGATAATCTGGCTACTACCTCTCTCCTTACTCATATTTCAGCACTCTGGGCCAATGGTTTCCAACCTAGATCTTCTGGTGGACTCTAATTCTCGTCAGACTTGGCCTCTCTCTCTCTCATCCAGAACTTCAGGCCAGCAATGAAGCCTTCAACAGCTCATTAAAAAATATCCTGGAGAACGTGGAGAGGAAGTTAAGGTTGATAGGAAAGGGTTTATCTCCTTGCACTATCCAGAGATAGATATATCTTAGAGTGAACGGGAGGACACAGGTTCTTCACAGGTTCTGCTTGGGCTTTTTTGACCTTCCCCATCTCCTTCTCTTTCCTCCAGGTCTCCAAGCCATCTTCCCCCAGTACTTGCGAGAGAAGTTCGTGCAGTCGGCCCTGAGTTACATCATGTGCAACGGCGAGGGGGAATACATCTGCCGAGACAGTCAGTGCGGTTGCCAATGTGCCGAAGAATTCCCACAATGCAATTGTCCCATCACCGACATTCAGATCATGGAGTACACCTTGGCCAACATGGCCAAGTCTTGGACAGAGGCCTACAAAGATCTGGAGAACTCAGGTGATGGAAGGAGAACAGGAGTGTCTGTTTTCATAGAAAACCCATAGAGAGGTTCTTCATATCGCACCAACCATATCTGCTAACTTGTGATAGATGCCCCCATCTGTCCAATGATAGGGCTGTTCCTAGCTATGGTGCTTCTCAATGCATCCAAATAATTGAGAAATACAGTGGTGCCTCACTTAACGACAATAATCCATGCCAGGAAAATCGCCGTTAAGCGAAAACATTGTAAAGCGGAAAAAAACAATTGAAACACATTGAAACCCCTTAAATGCATTCCAGTGGGGTCAAAACTCACAGTCCAGCAAAGATCCTCCATACAGCAGCCATTTTCGCTGCCTGTCTTGCGAGGAATCCGTCCCAGAAAACAGCGGGGAGCCATTTTAGTTACCTGGTGGCCATTTTGAAACCGCCGATCAGCTGTTTTAAAATCGTCGTTTTTGCGAAGAATCGGTTCCCGAAGCAGGGAACCGATCATCGCAAAGCGAAAAAAAAACCATTTAGACCTTCGCAATTGCGATTGCAAAGATTGTCGTTATGCGGTTTCATCGTAATGTAATACAGGGCAATCATAAAGCGAGGCACGACTGTAATTGAAAAGGGTTGGGTGCCTTGTCTACCTCCTGCCCTGCTCCCCTCACCCCAAAGTAAGTTTTATACGGCTTTAAAAGATGGTTATTTCTGTGTTTCTCAGATGAATTCAAATCTTTCATGAAGAGGCTGCCTAACAACCATTTCCTGACCATCGGGAGCATCCATCAACATTGGGGGAATGACTGGGATCTCCAGAACCGGTACAAGCTCTTGCAGAGCTCCATGGAGGCCCAGCGCCAGAAGATCCAGCGCACGGCCCGCAAGCTTTTCGGCCTCAGCATACGATGTCGGCACAATCCCAACCACCAGCTGCCTAGAGAAAGGTACTGGCCGTCTTCTTCCGGCTTCTGTGTTTCATGCCTGAATGCTGGGCCAGCTCAGTGGGTTGGAGAACCTGGCAGCAGAATCAAAAAACCAGGAATTCCAATGCCCACTGTGCCTCCTCCAAGACACAGACTGGCCAAGCTCACCCATCGCCTGCGTGGCTGATGGGGCGAGACTTGGTCAAGGCGCACCGGAGTCCCAGAGCGCCCCCTGAAGTTGAAATCGGTCACCCACTTTTCAGGATTTTTATGGCTAGAAAACCCTGGGATGGGTGACCAAAAGTTGGAGTCAACTGGATGACACACCGTTCTTAATTCTAAGTGTCTTGGTGTTGATCATGGGCGTTAAGGCATTTCGTCATTTGTTAATTTGATACACGTTATCTAGCCTAGATGGCTGCAGTTTCCGGCTCGTTAGTCAGTGGTCATTCCTGGTACTTAATGAGGTGGTGGGGGTTGGACACGAGAACGTAATGCAAGCTTGGGGAAGTGACTTTTTTTTGGAGTATGACTTACAGTATTTTCTAGGCACCGTGGCTAGTGGACATGATTTTTTTCATGGATTATTTTTAAAATAAAAAATGCAGCAAAATGCACATGGAGGAACTCATGCAATCTCACCTTGTGTTAGCAAACATTTGCCATTTTTTTCATTCTTTCCTGTGAAGATAAAATAAGTGAACCCACTCATTTCCCTTTAGTCCCGGATTGTGGCTCTAATCCTCCCACTAGTTCTGTAGGTGAGGTTGGATACCCCTATCAGCAATATATTGGTATGAGCTTCATGCTGTTGTGATGTACCATCTTTGAGAGGGGCTTGGTGTTGAATTAGTCTGAAATTGGCAAGACCCCTTAGCTTTACAAAAGACCTGTTCTGGAAATAGAGGAAGATTATTAAAATTGGTTTGTTAACTTCAGTTAACACAGTTGCTTGCATTTTTAGATGCTCTCGGGTAGCTTAGCTGTCACGTCGATTGCCGGACGTCAGAATTGACCACTCCATCCAATACACAAATTAGTCTCATCTGAGTCTTTTCCAGTTCATTTGATGCACAAAAGAATTTTCTGAAAGACCCTAATGCTATGATTGAGTTTATTTTTTCCCCAAGTACTTGAGTGTTCAGCTGTTGAGGATTTAGAATGTGGATTTTTGAAGGGGGGGGGGAAATGAAATTATTGCATTTCAAGGCGATTTATTTTTATTCTTCCTTTTGAAAATTCTGGTGCTTGCTTTCCGAGGTGTGCTCTGTTTGAGACGTGATTAACTCGCTCTAAACGTGTTTGCAGCCAAAACGGAAAGAATATGAGATGCTGCTGAGAAGTGGTTAGCAGTAAAAATCAAGACAGCATTATTTTCGATTCATCTGGGGTGGAAAAAAAGCAGTAGAAGAGGTACCTACCTTTCTCTCCAGCCAAGCGTGACCCCTTTCGAAAGCTTTTAGATAAATATGCCTTTAACATTTCATTTCTATTTGGGGAAGGGGGAGAAGAGGAGTGGGGTAGGGGAAAAAAAATAAACCCAGCCAATGAGGCAAAAAGGGCGTTTCCAAAGAGTGCTATCAAATCTGGAGAAGATGGGACAAAATGTAGGGTGGCAGTTGAGTTTTTAAATGAGTGATGTGCCTGATCTGTTTAAGTCAACACCACCAGGCGTATTAGCATTTCCCCCTCCTGCTTGTCATTCTGCATTTTTCACAAAGCCGGTGGAGGAGGGGATTGGCTGGGGAAAGAGAGAGAGAGAGAGAGAGAGAGATGTTACTTTGACCTATAAAAGCTGTATTGACTGCAATTCTGCAGTTTTCAGAGAAAGACCCTCTTGGAGGGGAGCATGAACAAGACCAGAGGCTGGCTGAATATCTCAGGGAGCTAGGCATCCAGATGAAGTGTCTGGATGGGGGTTCGATTCCCCTCTATGCCTCCAGGAAGAAGAACCAACCTCTCCCCCCTCAGTAATTAAGATGTGCCTGCATTGTATCGGAAGCTGATTTCAACCAAGTTGGACCCGTGGCGTATCTAACCAGTTTGCATGATTGTGTTGTAAACTGCCCAGAGAGTTATCTAGCACAAAGGGATGGTATATAAGTCAAAAGAATGAAAACATCATCCTTATCATCGTTATCGTCATCTTAGAACTGCAGAGCTGGAATCATTGAGTCCAGAAGCTGTCAAGGAGGCCCCGGGGGGAATCAAACTCCGAACCTCTGGCTCTACAGCCAGAGACCTCAGCCTCTGAATGATCAAGGTTCAGCACCATGGACAGGTCCGTTAAACTTCATGCTAAAATCTGTAATGGATTCACCACTCCCTGTCAGACTGGTGGCACCAGACGCCAACTGGGTCAGTCCTTTGGAGCATTCTGAACTTCTTAACAAATTGTAACTGAAAGCATCTCTTTTAGCTACTTTTGAATAAATACCAAACAAAGAGTTACTTTTCAATCATGGCTGAAACCCAGTATCAAATGGTGTGTAGGTTAGATCCATTGAATCACTGGCGATCTGGGGAGTCAGCTTAGTTTCTGGTGAGTGGGATTTCTCTAGTGGTGACTTACTCCTGGATTTCAGTCACCAGATATGCTGTAACTAAAAGGGTACATTTCTTCTTTATTTGGCCCTTCCAACTGTAACTACCGTGAACTACTCTTTACTTGTGACTTCCTACACTCTGGAAATAAGTTCTAACAGACAGCCACCAAGTTGGTGAGATCTTGTCTCCCACAGATCCACCATGATCTTCCCTGCTGGAACACCCACCCTCTGTGCCACCTCCTATTCATCTGATGAGAATTTACCCCCCTAAAGAAAAAACTCTCACAAAAACCCACACACACACACCCATGCACAAAACAAGACCTAAGTCAGGGCCTGACTGGGACAATCTGTTCTGTATGAAAGCCCCGACCGAGACAGTAGCATTTAATATGTGCCAACGGCTTTGAAAACGATGGAGTGGTTCTATTAACAGCAGGGGACTTTCTGTCCCATTCACCAAGGTGTAATAGAAATAGCATGTTCTATATTCAATTATAGCCGAAAGGAACAGGGCTGACACTCGGCTGCCCTTCCGGAAATGAATCAGAATATGACCAAATGCCTAAAGCTGCATTCAAGCAATGTGAAAAGCTCAAGAAGGTCCGGTTCCTTCCTTTCTTCTTCTTTTTTTTTAAGGCTCATTTTTTTCCCCTCAATTTCTCTCTCGCTCCCTGTCTTTTGGCCAATCGCACAGAAGCACACACCCCACACCCTTCCCGGTATCTTTTCCTTTTGCATTTAATTATAAAGTAAAATAAAAGGTGACTCAAACATTAATGGGAATCCAAGAGTTAGGTTCCCCGCCACCACTGAACCGTTTCTCAAATTTCTGAACGGTGAGTGCTGTATTGTTGGCTGGAGGGCCAACATGGACTTTAAGGCTACAATTTGTAGGATGCAACCATGGTTGGAGTTTTGTTTTGTTGTGCTTTGTTTGTTTGTTTTTAAATGTGAGAAGGGTGGTTTGTTTGTTTGTTTGTTTTTAAATGTGAGAAGGCAAAGGTGGTCAATACAAACGAATGTGATGCCGGCACAACCTGTTGACCGAGCAAATTTTGACAATGATTGGAAAGGAAATCTTTTGCTGAAATAGCATAGTATTGTATATTAAATAGAAGAATAATCATGTGCAGTCATGTGCAGGGTTTTCAAGGTAGAGAGAGAGAGAGAACATGGAAAAAGGGGGAGGGGAACCAGAAAAAAAATATTTTACATGCATTACCATAACTGGTCACTAGATGGCACTAGAGATCATGTTATGATCCTACTGTGATCACTCATAACATGGTCTCTGGCGCACTCTAATGGCTGGTTCTAGTAATACATGTGAAAATATTTTTTTGATTTTTTTTCTCTTTTAATACTTTTAATATTCTCAGACTGCGGATAAGTGAAACTGTAAGGACTAATCCTGCAGATATGGGGACCTTACTGTATTCAGAAATGGTTTCTTATTACCTTCTTCCGGGGGCTCCCTGGGGTCACTGTACAGCTTGCCCAAGGCTACACAGGCTGGCTCTTCTCCCAAGAGGCCCAGTGGGGGAATCGAACACCCAGCCTCTGGCTCTGCAGCCAGAGACCTAACTCACTGAGCTATCCGGCCAGCTATGTTAAATATAGCCATGTACTTATACCTCCACAACATTCTTCACCCTGTTTGGGGGCAGATCATTTCACTGAAGTTCTCCAGGAGATGGAGAAGCTGTTCACAGTTAGCAGAAGTTCTAGCACTGTCTCCTTCCTTTATTCTCAGGGTTTAGATTTTTTAAAAATATCTATGCTGCTACCTCAAATGGTAATAACTAGGGATATGCCATTTGGAATTTTTAACTACAAATCCCATAATTCTCCATCTTGGGGGGTTCCTACAAACACGTAAATGTGGCTCACCTGGAGGAAAGGCCTAAGGTGAAAGGCTTTGTGGCCTAGCCTAGGCCGAGCTCCACCCAAGCTTCCTGTCCAGAAAGGAAGTTGCCCCAGTGCTCGCAGGAAGATTCCTTTTTGTGTGTGTGTGTGTGTGAAATGTTCTCTTTGCCTTCTTCAAAGTATGCAGTGATAAAACTCTCCTTGGCAAAGACTGGAATGTATTGGTTGTTGTGGGTTTTTCGGGCTCTTTGGCCATGTTCTGAAGGTTGCTCTTCCTGACGTTTCGCCAGTCTCTGTGGCCGGCCTCTTCAGAGGACAGCACTCTGTGCTCTGGTGTAGCTGGCTTGGGAGTGGAGTATTTAATGTATTCTTTTTTTATACTGCTTTGCTGCTGAGCTAGTTTTCTTGCAGATGGTGGTTTCTGCTTCCTTGTCCTACCTGCATTCTTTTCACCCTTCCCAAGTTCCTTGGTTTCTTTCTGAGTCACAGGAGAGGAAGAGATGGTGAGAGACAAACCATTTCCAAACAAGTGAGACATGCGCTAAGTAGCTCTTTCTCATTCCCAGAACTCCTCCAAGCACTTAACTGCAGCTTTGTTTCACTTTTACACCTATTTTCACATTGTTGATCCCTTCCTTCCTTCCTCCCTCCCTCATCAGCTCCTCCCTCCACCCTCCCTCCCTCCCTTCCATCCATCATCTGCTCCTTCCTTCCTTCCTTCCTTCCTTCCTTCCTTCCTTCCT